TATTTCATTTTCCAAAAAAGTAGCCATAGATTTCTGCTAATTTCTTTCTCAGTCATTGAGGATATTGTTCTCATTGAAATTATGAAATAAAAAGTGAGGGTCACCGTGCTCGTTTAGGAGAAAAATAGCATTTCGCTATCGCGCTTAGTTTGAGGAAAATTTCTTACGTGTTGTACGCGCACGCGCTCATGTGCGCGTGCTAATGACGCGAAAATCGTGCGCAGTACGGATGCCCAATGCAAACTAAGGAATCACCTTTATATACAGTTTATGTAGGATTGAAGTTTCAATTTTTTTAAAAAAAATTGCACCTGCATTTAGAATGCTTTTAAAGAACAGTTGTTTAGAAATGCAATTGTAATGTATCTGTTAAGACGTCACTCAAATTCGACCAGTCATGAAATTTGACCCTTCCCCGTTAATGCGACCACCCCGTTGAAACGGCCAAATTTTCATGGCCCGTTGGTGACCGTTTTAACGGGTTTCCACTGTAGATCTACGGAGAAACGCAATATTCCTAGCTGCATTCAGGGAGAGAGCTGCGCTAGGATTGAGTAAAGAAGAGCATTGCAGGGCAAGAAAAGGAGTTACACGAAAGGGCTCAAAGGGCGCTTTGATTACCTCTCGGTTGATATTTGACTGAATTTGCAGTCAGCGATCTTCTTCTACACTGACTGTTTTCCTAATAAAAAAATTAAAAAATTAAAAAAAATTAAAAAAAACTAAACCAACAGTTGATTGCAGTGGGACATGTTCACAGCTTATTTAGACTTCTGAATCACGAGAGCATGAAGAGTAAGAGGGTTAATCCCTCATACAGGCCCGGGGAATCCCTCTCCGTTGTTTTTATATAACTCCCGTCTCCCGGGTTCGGAAATCCCAGGGGGTTCTAGAGCTAGCCAATCCTATGATATATATGATGTCGCTTTTGCTCACGTTAACAGCCCAAGCGGCTTAACGTGCGCATTTCCATCCTACACGAAAACATCCATTCAGCGCACGTGGTAACATTATCCGCGTAAGAACTGGGCACAATGTCTTAAAAACAACTTATGGGATAACCTTGTGAATAACGTCTTTAGAGAGGAAAACTACCTCACTCTTCATCGTCTCCTGATCTCAACTTGAACCAAATAAATCGTCTCTGATCTATCAAGCCGGATGATGATTTTTTTTTTT